CTTTTCCCGTGTAAGATTAAGAGTATCTTACACGGGAAAAGATCTGAACACACCTAGATCTACATACCTGTACCCGTGAAAAATCTACGAATATATATATATATATATCTTGAAATATTCCCACTTTTTATCACATTATGACTTTCTCATAACACTAAGCCAGATCTTGGTAATCTGTGTCTTTTTTAGTGGTCTCCAGAACCCTCTTTGTTCATATCTGCTGAAAACTGAAGCTATAATTTCCTGTCATTTTAGTATGACATATAGAAGAAAAGAGTTGTAGAAAGGGTAAAAAACATAAAACAGTTAAAAAACTAACAATGCGCTAATGCTCCATCAGCATATTTAATAGATCCTTCAGCCTCTGCCCAAATTCTGATGTGACACTTAGCGACCAAAAATCTATCAACGACCATACTAAACCCGTTGTAATTTCTAACCTGGATTAGCTACATGTATAATGTGGCTTCCTTCCGAAACAGATGTATAGGGTTGCATATGCATTTATAATTTTTTTCTGGGAGAGAAAATATGTATACATGTACATCAGCCCTTTATAATTGTACTATTTCAGCAATATTTATTTTTAAAAATGTAGTTGCATTCCTTTTGGTCAATAAGCATGACATATTATCATATTTTTTTCTATTTAGGAAAAAGTAAAGGAATAAGATAAATTTTGGTAGTATGGTGTATCATGTCAAATCATAAATGTTTTGTTGGCATTTTTAAATTTATATGTTTGAATAAATCTTCATTAATCAGATCCCACTAACTGACTAAGAAATCTTAAATGCAAACCAATGCCACACTGCCTATGCAGATCCAGCTGTTGGGGTTGCCTACACAAAAGTCCTTGTGAGAAAATTAATGACATCTCTGACCAGCAGTTCACAAAAAAGAATAAGGGAGCTGAATCCAGCTCTTCTTTCTACCAAACAATTCAGCCATAAGAATGCTACTTTTCTAACAGCTCTTTGTACAAACATATTTGGATTGTGGTTGATACAGGTGTTCTAGAAATTTTCTTTCATAACAAAAAATGCCTGGTTTTTATTTTCTAAACAATAAAAATCCTTTTATGTAATTCCGAGGTTTCATAATTTTAAAGTTCAAAATATTTGCTGGTTTTTAGGTATTATCTGAAATAGAGGACGAGGAGCAAATGAGCGAGTTATCAGACAGTACTATTGAGTTAAAAACCAATCAGGATATTTCTTCTAACAATATAGCTGATGGGTATTCCTTGACAGGTAAACAAACATGCAATAAAGTTTTAATTGCATTAAATTTGTCTTAAATCAGAATTAAGGAACCTTTCTTTCTTTCAGGTCTCAGAAGGCTACTTTTGCCCCCAGGCATTTTGTTGAAATAGTGGATACCAAGTTCACTATCTTAATTTATCTTTAAATTTATTTCTTTATTAAATTAAATTAATTTAGTATTGCAAATAATTATTATATTGTCAAATTTATTTGCCACCCATCTTTTGATCTGAGGCAACTCTAATGTAGCCTTTAAGGAAATGTTAAAATGTATCAACACAGATAGAAATAATTGTGTCTTTATTTTAATGCATGCAAATCCCTTAAAATCATCATTAATAAATGATATAATTTTACTGAAAATCATATATTTACATATATATGTATCCTTTAGATGCCAATGACATACCCATCAATTTTAGTTTCCAAGAAGTTGAAGAAAGATGCAAGCAGGAGTATCAGTATTGGTTGGAAAAGCAAACAGTACTAGAGAAGGAAAAAATGAATCAATTGAAAGCTAAGAAGGACATGGAAATGTCTCAAAATGAAGAAGAGAAGAAAAGACGATGCCTACGTCAAGAAGAACTTGAAAATGAACGGATGAACTTAGAAAAGTTTAATGCGGTAATATATTTAAAATAAAGTAATAATATCTATTAATAATAATATCTATAAGGGACGTGATGGCTCAGTAGCTAAGACGCTGAGCTTGTCGATCAGAAAGATCAACAGTTTGGCGGTTCAAATCCCTAGCACCATATAACGGAGTGGGCTCCCGTTACTTGTCCCAGCTTCTGCCAACCTAGCAGTTTGAAAGCATGTAAAAACGCAAGTAGGAAAATAGGAACACTTTGGTGGGAAGGTAACAGCGTTCCGTGCACCTTCGGAGTTTAGTCATGCCAGCCACATGACCACGGAGACGTCTTCAGACAGCGCTGGCTCTTCAGCTTTGTAATGGAGATGAGCACCACCCCATAGAGCTGGAAACAACTAGCATGTATGTGCGAGGGGAATCTTTACCTTTAATAATATCTATAGGTCATATTATATAAACTATAGTAACTAGATTTTGCAATGAACCCTTACCATGTGAAGTGCTCCTTTCAGGATATATCTCTCCCCCCCACACACACACCCTGTTATTTCATTGAACAGTCAGATTCTCTACCAACAAAGCATGTTCTCTTTGGAATTTTGAAGGTATTTATCCCTTTAGGTTTTTATTTTTGCAAGTTGTTGGATTTCTTGAGCCTGCCAACAATTGGTTCCTATATAGTCAGAACCAAGGAACCAAGAACAACACACAGAGTTGCTTCAAAGTAGTTTCTTTATTGTTACTTGCCTGTAGACAGAAATATTGCCAGACTAAAGCAGTTGTCTGCATAACTACTAGATATACTCTGAAAACTGCTGAGAGGAGTCCAGCTTCTCTCTTTAGGTATAACAAAGATTCCAGGCCTCTTTGTCCTTTGCTTGTTGGGGAAGAGCCTTTCCCTCCTGTGACTCTGGCCCACATTCTATCACATACATGTAGATACAAGTAGTCCTTGACTTATGACCACAATTGAGCTCAAAATTTTCATTACTAAGTAAGACCGTTGTTAAGTAAGTTTTGCCTCAATTTATGACCTTTCTTGCCACACTTGTTAAGTGAATGACTGAAGTTGTTAAGTTAAGTAACATGGTTTTTAAGTGAATCTGGCTTCCCCATTGACTTAGCTTGTCAGAAAGTCACAAAAGGGGATCACATGACCCAGGACTGCAACCATCATAAATACATGCCAATTGCAAAGTGTCTAAATTTTGCTTACATCATTGTAGGGATGCTGCAATGGTTGTAAATGTGAAAAACACTCATGGGTCACTGTTTTCAGTGTCATCGTAACTTTTGGACAGTCACTAAGTTGATTGTAAGTTGAGGACTATCTGTACTCAACACAATACATTGAAGATACTGTTAGTAGCAAGTCCTACATGTAACTTATGTAGGTGTTTTGATTTTTTTCTAATGTGTTAGTCACTAAATATTCTTTGTCAGCATTAACTTAATTTATTTTCATAGTGACCCACCCTTTATAATACTGACCTTGTAAATTCAAGATGTTGAGCTCCTCCTATTTTCCCCACAACTTTGGGCTGAGTGAAAATGATTGGCCTATAGTCACCCCATAAATTTCAGTGTCTGAGAGTGACATAAATCTTGGGTCTCCCTGCTCATAGTCCAATACCTTAACCTATATACTGCAGTTTTATTCTTGAGTAAAATTGATAATAATTTTAAAGTGATTTTTAAAATCACTTTACCTTTACCAACCACCTTTATGATAAGTATAAAAAGAATATTCTTTACCTTTGGTAACTTCACAAATCAAAACTACATAATCTAGTTTTCAAAAATGTTATTTAAAATATTAACAGCCAGGAGACTAGATTTATTTATTTGTTATCTCACAACAGAGACTTTGGATGGTATAAAAAGATTTTCTGGAAGGATATTATAATTTTACAAACACTTCTTTTTTTGTCACTTCTTTTCCAACTCATTTTGTATAATAGCATAAATATATTTACAGAGATCTGATCTGATGGATGGGGTCACAGAGAGTCAGACATGACATAGCAACTGAATAACAAAGAACTGATGGATATACATTTAAATATTCTGGAAATTACAGTTTCTTCATTTGAAGTACCCATTTGCTATCTGCAAATGTCTTTGAAAAACATTTTGAGGAAATTCTGTTTTTGATATTATAATTTTGCTTTTTGAAAAATAATTTCTGCAATATAATTTGGGACTCAGGAATTCTAGTCATATACATTCCTGTCCTTTCTGGAGTGATTCTTCAATTAATTTATAAATGGGACCCCTTCCTTCCTTCCTTCCTTCCTTCCTTCCTTCCTTCCTTCCTTCCTTTTAATGCAAAAATGGAATCCCTTCATTAAAATGAGTAATTCTGTTCACAAATGTTATTTTTAGTTGCGTATTAGCCTGGACTGCAATATATATTTTTATTTATAGCATTAGATATAATCCTATAAAAGGATTGGAAAGAAATTAAATATATATATTATTTTTTCCTCTAAATATAATCCTGATATTTTAATATGATTTTAGTATGAGAAAGAGGGGGAATGTTATTTTTCTTCTCTTGAAATCAATGGAAATAAAAATATTCCACTGTAGTAGGAAGCACATAATATATGATTCCAGAAATAATTAAATCCCAATATTAATTAAAAAAATGACAACAAAAGTCTACTCTGTACAGCAACAACAGACTACGATGGAAGAGGAACTGCTGAAGAAAGAACAGACTTGGAAAAAACAACTGAAAGAACATGAGGTAATTTAGATTTAGGAATGCTCTCAATTACTTATATGGGACATGCATCCCTACAATCTGCATGGTTTGGCTCACAGGTTGTGCTAAAATCAAACTTTGAATGATTTGGAAGATTAAATCATATAATGAGTATAAATTCCCTCCTCCTTGCATACTTTCTTTTCTTGCTATTTGTATGATTCTCAAAAAATTGTAGTTTACTATTGTAAGAATATAGTAAACTGGTTTCTGCAAATCATACGGCAAATGGCAGTCAGAATTTCAAATTCAAACTAGAATCTGATTTGTAGGTATAATGTGGTTTGGCAATGAACTGAAAATTCAAGGGTATGAATCAGAACACACTAGAAAAAGAGTCTCCACATCTGTATCCTTTTGTCCAAATCCTTTTGGGTGATAATCTATGTCAGAGCGTTTGCAGCATGAATTATGAGACAGCCCATGAGCAAAACACAGCACACAGAGACAGACATTTAACAAAAGTTTATATAGAAGACATATACAGAAATATACGTGGTAGGCAAATACCTTACAAGCAATCAGTCTTCTTAACTCTACACAGAGAACTCTGCAATGGATACTGGACACAAGGAGAGAGAACACAGCCTTATATAAACACCTTTTAAAGGGGTAATGACTTCTGTGAACCTATTCTTCGTCTTAAAAGGGCAATACCCATGCTATGTAGATTCATCCTTATTGCATCAGCCTTATATTGCATCAGCCTTACAGCAGCTGGCAGCTATTAAATTTTACCTCAACATTAAAATAATATTTCAGTATTTGAAAAAAAAGTAACATTTTCACTTTTATAAAAATATAGAACTGCTTCTTTTTTCACCTGTAAATAAACATCTATACTGTACAAATTATTCTTAATGTTACAGTTTTATGCATTTTCAACATATTGCATGATAGTCTTGGAGAAACCGTATCAGTGACAGTTTGGTTAGCCTGAATGTAATTTTTTAAAAAATCATGCTGCTATTCTTCCCTTCTCCATGAAAAACTGGGCTGAATTTAAAAATGTACGGTCAAGGCAGAGTAGAATTGCATTTAGCAATCCCATTAAATCAAAAAACCAGAGAAGAGTTCAAATCCAAAGAATCAGTATAGAATAGGGAAGAAACAAGAGCATAAAGTTAAAATAAATGCTGATCATTTGCCACAGTTTCCTTTATACCATAAAATCACTGAGAAGCTGTTAAAATCCAATACAATCTCTAATATCAAGAATGATTTGTTTTTTTAGAAATAGTATTGGCCTAGTTATACATTTTAACTTTAATTTTTTATCATTAAATTTATATACTGCCCAACTGCCCGACTCTAGGTGGTTTATAAATTGTTTAAAATATGAAATCTCATCATGAAAATTACAAGAAACGAAAGATGTGGGAGAAATGGCAAAAATAACAAAGTGGGTAGAAATGAGAAAACAACCCAAGTTAAAAGTAGGCTTCCGTCAGCCCCACTGACAGCTTGGGTAAGGAGCCAGGACTTCAGGCCTCTTTGAAACACCACCAAATTGGGGGCTGTTTGAATCTTGGGAGGAGCAGCATTTCAGAGACAGATTCTGCTACAGAGAAGATGCACATCCGGGGTCTCAATAGATGTCTTGCTTAAATCAAGGAATTTGGAGTATTCCAAATCTGCCAGATGAATCTACTGGAAAGATACTATGGGAGATAGGTGATCCCTCAAGTAATCAGGCTCTATATGCCACGTAAGGTTTTATAGGTGACAACCAGCCCCTTGAATTGAACTTTAACCCTAACCCAGAAGGAAACTGTGGCAACTAAAACCTGCCCATCATTGTTCACAGTGCTATATTCTGGACCAGTTGAATCTTTTGGGTGTCAAGTGTGGAAAGTCAAGAATGCAATATAATATTAGAATATAAACGCCAAACGTAGAATATAAACAGAAAGTAGTGTGTCCATATGAATACATAGATTTTTTTAATCTTCAAGAATCTAATGAGATTTGCAGATATGTAGCTGTGATATTTCCTATAAAAGCATCTTGTCTTGTTGGAATACAGGAATTCATTATGAAATTACACACACAAATAGAAGAAGAAAAAAAGGCCTTTGAAGAACAGAAAGCAAAAGAAAGACAACAATTGGTGGAACAGCAGAATAATGCAGCTATAAAAATTCAGACAACATTTAGAGCTTTCATGGTGTACAAAAGGTTCGGTCCTGTCTTGAAAAAAAAGAGAGAAGAACGAGAAAAGAAAAGAGAAAATAAAGAAATAATGGAAAAGGAAATGAAAGAAAAAGAGGAAAGATGGAAAAGGAAGACTTTAGAAAAACTGGAAGAAAAAAAGAGGAGAGAGGAGAAAGAGAAGAAAGAAAATGAAGAGAAGATGAGAAGGCACGAAGAATATGAAAAAAAGAAAGAAATTGTGCGAATTCAACGAGAATTAACGATTGGAGAATTGAAAAATGAAGAAAAAAACAAACTAGAATTTGTGACAGCAAAGAGTACTGAATCACAAGATATAACTGAAGATACTGAACAAACTAAGAAAGAGCAAGAAATAGAAAAGAAGCTAGAAAATACAACTGAAAAAATCCAAAAAGGAGATGAACTTGAAAATGCAACTAACAAAATAGAATCAGAAGAGGAAGGCAAAACCTTTGAAAATGTAAAAGTAAAAGAGGAAAGAAGAGCTTCAATAATACTGGAACCCTTAAGTATAAATAAAGCTTTCGACATAACAATTGAAGAAAAAGAAACTAAAAAGTTAAAAGAACAAGAAGATAATAATGACCCAAAAATGCTAATTATGGAAAAGAAACATTTAAAACAAACACCAGACCAAAAGTACAAGGAACAAACCGAACAAGAAACACATGAACGAAAGAATGACAAATTATGGAATGATATTGGAGGAAGTAAAGATGGAGAGTTAAAATCAGGAAGAGAAGTACATATTGAGATAAATAATGAAGAATCACTGGAGAATAATGTAAAAAAATCTTTACAAACTGCAGAATTTCAGCAAGATAGCAACACAAATGCTCTTAGTTTTGAAACCAGTGCAATAGTTAATCAGGAAAGTATCATACATTACCTTCATGTACAGTTAGATTTTGGGGGCTCTGGAAAAACAGCCAGCTCTTCTGCTTCAGAAAATAGTAAAATAGATTTTGCTCCAAGAGAAATTAATGAAGAGGTTAATGAGGAGTGGGCCAAAGATGAGAACTCGAACAATTTATTTGAACAACCACTTTTATCTGATTCTGTTGAAACTAAAAGACTGGCTTGGATGAAAACATATAAATCTTGGTCCAGAATTTATCAGGAACACCAGACGAAGAAAATGGTTGAAAGAAGCAAACCACGGAAATGCTCATCTGACCAGATGCCTCCATTGAGTGCTACTATGATAATTCAGGCAGGTCCTTGGAGTTCTCTACAACAGGTAAATCAATGCTAGAAATCTATCCAATGCCCTGTAAATACTGTTAGTATTTATGTAAAGTGATTTTCAAAAGTTCTTCTAGTTGTTACCTGAAAGTTATGCACGTTTTAATCTGCAGGAAGGCCTGCAATCCTCCATTTAATGTCCAGGATAATTTCTTGCACTCAGTAAAGAGCAGTTTTCAGTAAGTGGGTCAGAATCCTATTTGATTGCAGTATAACTTTAGCTGGCAAACAGCATGCTTTCATAGGAATATATTAACCACATAGAAATGAGTGCCTGAAACATAGATTCCACAAGTGGGTAATATTCAGTTAGGCAGGCAACTAGTTTGGTATAAATGTAATTTCATGTGTTTTGAATAGTATTGTCTGCTTGATCAAAGTTAAAAATATTTTTTACACAAGTACGATTTTGAATTTTTCGTAGCTGTTTGTTACGAAAATATATGTTCAGCTATGTAGAATTGCCATTTTTATTGTTGTTCAATTCAAATGTTACCAAAATATATTTATTTCTTATTGAATACATATAGGTGACCACAGCTAACTTTCAAGATTTGCCTGGTTGCAGCCTGTCCACATTATCACAATGTGAAAGGCTTCAGTCCTTGAGCCTTAGACGCTGTGGATTACTTGCCTTGCAAGGACTCAGCATCTGCAAGGATTTGAAATATATAGATGTAGAGGTACCGTGTATTTTACTGTATGTAGAAGTGAACTATTTTAAGTTGTAACCATCTCTTCCAACTATAGTGACTTAGTTGTAAATGTGATGTTTGCAGACTATTACTTTTTATTTCTTATATTTTTGTTTCATTTTATATTTAAAAGTGCATCCAAGAAAAAAAAGAAACATCAGAAAAAAAGAAAGGGGTGAAAAGAAATAAAAGATTTACAAGCTGCATAAAAATGAATAATGTTCAAAAATTAGTACTGGTGATCTTATATCAGTTTAACTATTTAATACATTTGTCAGTATCAAATAAAAATTAGCAAAAGCAGCCACAATAATAAAAATCATCACTCAGAATAAGTAAAAGAAGTTTTTTTCTCATTTGAGAAAGCCTCTTTTTATAACAAATCAGGAAAAAAAATTAATATTTTAAAGCTTTATGTTAAGTAAAAAACAACTTTGGGGGTGCTTTAAGCCCATGCACAGAATTATTATCTGTAAATGGTTTCTGGATAAAATGAAATTTGGTAGTATTTATGAATATAATTATTAATATTCCCAGCAATTACTTTTTAAAGCATGCTTTCAATATGCATAATTTGAGAAGTTGTAATGTTATCTAGTGTGGACATCTCCCATTTTTTTCAACATTTGAAGAGACTACATGACTCCCTTTTCTATTCAACTTAGAAACTGAGAATTAGCTGTGACATCATGCTTTCTCTTCCTCTATCCAAACCATCTCCCTTGAACTGGAGAACAATGTTGTATGTAATTCTGGTGATAAAAAACAGACATGTTCCCATGCTTATTGTGAGAATCTTTATTCAAAACACTAATATTTCAGCCCAAAAGGGGGATTTACGTAAACATTATTTTACATCCTGCCTCCAATCATTACATTATTCTTCTTGTATGAACTGGAACAAATCAGTAATGTTTATTGCAGCATGCCTTAAAATACCGGCTGCTGGGAACAAGAGTGGAATGGGACTATGATTTCTTCTACCAGTTTGAAGTTCCCAAATGCACTGGATGCTGAATTGAATCAGCCTATGGCTCTAGAGAATACTATCAGAGTAACTAGTGAATAATCTTGGATGAGGTTTCTTTTTCAGATGGAAAAAAGAATGGATTAAATTGTGGGCACTGGAGAAAGAAATAATCCAGGTGATTCCTCTGATCATGCCTATGGAAAAAAACAATTGGACAGTGACTCAAAATGTAGCAATTTCTGTGCCATGTCACTTTCTCCCGGTGACATGACACAGAACAAAGCTATTACTAAGAGGATAGAAAGAATGATAAAAGCCATGCTCTATATGCTAGTTTGATTTTATGTTTTATTACGTATTGTTTGAAAACTAGAGATACATATTAAAGGTCAGGGTAATGGAGATAGTGTAATTTTGTAGCTTAAAACAGATGACAGAAGAATCTTATGAAGCATTTAAAATGTAACCATTGTTCTATTATTCATAGCATTTTTTTCAGAAATATTTGAGTAAAGGACTCACAGTTGCACAACAAAAACTATAGTACTGTTCCAGATATTTTGCTACATTAAAGCCTGGAGCAATAATACAGAAATATATTTAAATATGTTTGAAATGGGAAAATGATGGCTGGAAACTTAGATATGTTTACATCAGTGTTATAATTTGAGAAGAATGTTTAACAAGAAAGTAATGCAGTTCTGAATGGCATACTACTGTATCTAAATATTTCTTTAAGATTATTACTATAATCAGCCTGATTTTAATGACATTTCATCTTTTTCATTATAAATTAGAAACTGTTATCCTAATTCCAAATGTTATTCAAGTGGGAGTTAATTCTAAGTACCAAGCCAGCTGACAATTGATGATATGGAAATAAATTAATTATATATATAATATAATATAATATAAATAAATTATACTTAACTCAGTGAGACTTAATTCTGAGCAGATGCTCATGGGATTAAAATATAGTTTGTATTGAAATTCAAAGGGGAAAAATAGTCTGTTTTTAATGTCTTTGCTTTGTTCTGTGTCCCGTTCCCCCCAAATAGGAGAACAACATTCAGATGATTAATTGTGAGAATCTAGAAAATCTCTGCATTCTAATTCTGAACAAAAATAATATTTCATCACTTCATGGTTTATATGGCTGCAGTAATCTCTTGAATCTTGAACTTTCCTATAATAAAATAACCCGAATTGGTAAGATACTAATTATAAATAGTAGAGCTGCAACCTTTAGCATAGTAATTCATGTAAATAATAAAATATTTTCTGTCTTAGAAAAAATTAATTCCTACTATTTGCTGAAATTTGTATACTCTGTAATATATACAGTATTTTAAAGGCAAACAAAATATGGAAATTAGTTTGTTCACAGCTGCAGACTATTATTACTGTTTAATATAGTATTTAATAACTTTTTAATCGAGAGAAGCAACCTAGAACTAAGGAGGCATTTCCTGACAATTAAGACAAATAATCAGTTCAATAAACTTCCTCCAGAAGTTGTGGGTGCTCCAACACTAGAAGTTTTTAAGAACAACCATTTGTCTGAAATGATATATAGGGTTTCCTGCCTAAGTAGGAGGTCGGACTAGAAGACGGAAGGTCTGTTCTGTTCTTTAGAGTATATAGCTATGGACCAATTTAGATTTTAAATGGGACTTAATGTATTATCTACTGGGCATCTTATGATCCTTCAGATGGTAAAGTTCAGCTTACAATATTCCTATTCAGTTTGACTAATGATCAGGAAATATACAAGCTGAAATCATCAGCATTTGAAGCCAAGCAGTTACTCACTGATGTTGCAAGAAGGTTTTTTTTTTTTTAAAGGGCTTACAACCTGGCAAATATCTTCTTTAATCATGTGTGTTATTCATCAAGACAGTATGGAAAAGACCCAGAGACCGTGCAGTTAAAGGAAGCAATAGTTTTCAGTGTGACCACATAACTAGCTTATTACCCCTATGCACATCACCTTTCTTAAACATTGGAGGGGGAGGAGGAGGAGGGGGAGGGGGAGGAGGAGGAGGAATCACTTTATTATTATGATTGGTTGCACAGTCTGCTAGATATTTAGACTGATTTGGCATTTTTATTCATCTACTGAGTTGTCCCCAAGGAGCTCTGATAGGTAAATATTATTATTTAAATTTATATGCTGCCTAAACCCCAGCGAGTGTGGCATTGACTGAAAGAAATTCCTGTCCCACCCAGTCCTGTCTTTCTGTAATGCTCTTTACATTTATTTTTTTGTTCCCTACCACTAGGTTATGTAGGGTCAAGTCCTTAAATCACAATCTGCATGTATGGTATTTTAATGACAACTGTTGAAAATATCTGATTCTAGCTTTGAGTACTTTTATGATCATTTATTATAATATATTATAAAGTCCTTGGCTTATGACCACAATGGAGTCCAAAATTTCCATTGCTAAACAAAAGAGTTGTTAAGTGAGTTGTGCCCCATTTTATGATCATTTTGCCATAGTTGTTAAGCAAACCATTGCAATCATTAAATGAATTGTGCATTTTTTAGGTGAATCTGGCTCCCCCCCCCCGACTTTGCTTGATGGAAGGTTACAAATGGTGATCACATGACTCCGGGACAGTGCAACTGTCGTAAATGTATGCCAATCATAAACTGCCCAAATTTTGAACATATGACCATGGGGTTTCTGCAATAGTGGTTAGTCTGAAAACCAGTCATAAGTCGCTTTTTCAGCACCATTGTAACTTCAAATGATCACTAAATGAATGGTTGTAAGTTGAGAACTACCTGTACATCTGAATTGTTAGTGTAAATCTGTCAATGTAGGTATGATCAGTCACAATCAGGGCATTGTCTGTATCTTCCTACAAAAAAAACAAAAACAAACCACAGATAAATTAAACAGATATGCAACAGATATAAAATTCCCGCAAAGCATATACCACATATTTCATGCCAAACACAGAACAAACCTAACATGCATAAGTGGAATATTTTTCCTGATGCATGCCATCCTATTGTGAATTATTCTTTAGAGATACTTAGCTAAGGTTCAAAATGGACATTATGCCCCAGTGTCTACCTTTTCTTTTAAAGTATGATTCTATGTCTCAAACAATCAAGAGAGACTCTTGAAAATAAGTTGTAAAAGACAGTGGGTTTAGGGTTTTTTTGCTTTATACCTACTTTTGCATTAATCTTTAATTGCACTATTTTTAAGTTAAATATAACTTAAACAATAAAGGGCATAATGCCTAATAAGCAGTAAAGGAATTTTTTTACCTTGCACAGGAATGCTTACACAAATACAGGTTGAAAATTTATAACAATATTTATTTAAATTATTTATATGGCCACCCATCTCATAGCTATAACTCTGATTTCACAATATTATACAAACCATAAGAATATTTAACACAAATGCATTATGCTTATAAATAATTCAAGCAACAAGCTAGATAAATATGAGATCTGAATGTATCTATTAAAAATGTATGAGAAAATTACATTTTCTGTAGTATATGAAAAACTATAGAGTTCAATGGTTATAAAAATATAAAACCATATTTTAAAAGTATATATAATATACCATTTAGTGAGTATATTAATCTTGACAGTTAGATGCTTTACATTTTAAAATTTTAAACGGTCAACTCCATTTGCTATGATTTTGTTATTGCTCATGCTAAAATGACATCGATTTCTTAGCCACAAGCTTCTAATGAATGTTGGTGTTCATTAAATGTCAAAAATCAGAAATCCAAAGTAAACGAACAACATGGACCAACAGAAATGATGGAATCTACAGTACATTCAATCTGTATTTAGTGCCAGTTCTGCTGTAAGGGAATTTTGTTTGGATAGATTTCCTTTGGTAGAGTATCTGAAAAGTTAATATGAAAATGGCATAATACAAATTAATGTGTTTTGGCTATGAAGCCTACACAGCTAACAGTGTAAAAGCCTCTTGTTCTGTCTGTATACATAATGAAAATACTGTGCTTATACACAAGAAGAGTCTGAATAAGAAAGTAGATTTTGAAGAAAACCAATTTATTTCTGCTTTTCTGTCTTCATCATCAGCTGCTTTGAAGAGATCTGGTTGGTAGACTGTTTGACTTACATTTCATGTTACGCATGAATATATTGATCATTTTAAAAACATGGAATCACTTAAAAATATACTTTTGTTCCACTTCTTTTGTGTCTAAATCCAATAGAATTTATCAAAGTAATACAGCATTGGAAATACTGACACTGTCACTTTAAAACAAGGCTTAATAATATCTTAGTCATCTAGCTAATTTTTAGTGTTTGTTTTATTTCTAAATCCTGTGAAACTAAAGAGAGGACCTTAGAAAAGCGATAAAAGTGTATTTGTTAAGAAAACCTATTTGTTCTGAAAGATTTCTAAAGAAATCAATTTCTAAAGAAATATGATGAATCCATCAACTGTACTTCAATTAAATTATTTTAAAAATAGTATAGATGTGAGAATACTGAATTTCTTGAAAATAACATTTTATCAGCTAATTTTCATCAGTACCAAAGATGATCAAGATTTTCCTTCTGAAGATCTTCCCCCAAAGGCTCCCAGTGTTGTTTGTTGCAGAAAACAAATGTAACATGGTACAATAGAACATGCTTACATAGCCCCTTTTAATGATTTTCATAGGCAAATTTGTCTTTTATTAATTATTTGTAATAATGTATAATCTTACTTAGTTTGATCTTCATAATAAGCCTTGAGGAGTATCTATTTTCTTTAGAAATCCAAACCAATATGTTAGAATAGAAAGAAGATATTTATTGTGATATCATCTCAGGAAGTGTCTGTGGATGTGCATTTGTATTTCCATTTTTTTTTTTCAAACTGGAAGTTCAGATGAAATAGTTAAACATCCTTCCACTTAATCTAAATGACTTATTTTTGTTCTATTGCTGTATTTCATGATTCCACTAGATGGTGCTGATTAGCTTTTGAAGCTATTTTCATTTCAATTCAACAAGATATATGCAATTTGGGGGGATAAAATCAGAAGCACATCTAAATTTATTTCCTTATAATTAAAGTGGTCAAGATTAAAATATATTAAAAATTAATATTTTATTTGTTCCCTATTAAGAAAAGTCCTTGTAATTTTTACAGTGCAGCACATACTTAGATAATAATACATATTAATGTATTATTGTATTAACGTTTAACATTTTTCCTCTTTCTTAGCATTCAGCATCCATTATAAAATTTCATATACATTATATTGTTTTGTGACATAATGACTGTGTGGTAGATTTCTTCCCATATAGTCAGGCTCAGTCATCAAGTCTAATGTGATTAGGATGTACCTGTCTGAAGGGTTTATGCAGACGAAGTACAGATAACAAAAATCAAACTGATTTTCTTTACTGTTGTCAGTTTGGGTAAGTTTTAACCATGAAATGTGGAATAAGAATTTGTTGAGGGACAAAACAAATTCTAAAGAAATACATTTGTTTTTTATGAATAATATAACAGTACATAATTTCAAAAATAGAAAATGAAATATATTGTGTGCAGGTACTAAGCTAATATTTATGGTTTCGAGATAATTTGAATAATCATAGTATGGAAGATTTATTTTATAAGCATATTTTATAAAAAAATTAAAACCAAATAGTATACCATTATAAATAAATTAATCAAATACAATTAATTTTAATATGTTATACAGTATGATATTTTGTTTTTAGGAGGCTTGGAGTCATTGAAAAAACTCCAGCGACTGGCTGTGGATCACAATCAATTGATCAGTACAAAAGGGCTCTCTGCTACTCCAACTCTGCTATACTTGGATTGTTCCTTTAATCATCTCACTGACATTGAAGGCATTGAAAACTGTGGTCTTCTTCAGATTCTGAAGTTACAAGGAAATAATCTGAATGAGGTAAAAACTTGGTGTTCTGTGGTAAAACTAAATACTTAATTAAAGAAATGTGCATAGGAGTAAATCCAATAATTCCCTATCAAAAAGCACTCTTCCTTTATTTTTTGATAATAAATTTCATTTTAGATAAACTCCTTATTCTGAAAAGAGGGCACATTTTTCTTAATTTGTGGGTATTTTTATTGTCTTGGAAAGGATTTGTACAATTTCATTTTTCAAGTAACATTTCACATTTTATATTTTGCTTCAAAAGGAATGTATAGTTCAGAATTCCATTTTATGTCATGATTTATATTACAGCAGCACTGTTAAAAAAAGTATGAGTGAATATTTGTGTTTGTTGACGTAATGATGTCAGTAGACATGTGAGTAAAAAGAATTGAGGACATATATATTATAGACATACTGACATAAATCTATAAAGAAAAACATGTGTACACAAATACATGCACAGTACATGAATTATCCTTTCACTAGCTACTGTTTCCAGAAGTGCTTACTGACTTTTTTTATACATGTTTGAGTATGTCATGAATTTCACAGCAAGGAAAAACAAATTGGTAATATGATAATGTTCTTATATGCCCTTCAGCGTGATAATTAGAATACAATTTATGTTTTTGATTAAGTGTCAAAAGCATATCAGATAACTGAAAAAATTATGAATGGGGCAAATATTTGATGATGAGGAATATTCTCCTATGATAGAGATGTGTAGTAGCTGGAAATTTGTAGCTTGGAGAGAAGGAATTTCAGTTTTCGTATAGAAGTGATTCAGTAAATTTAGTTCTTGCATCATGCTTAAACTTTAAAATGTCTTTAAACTATGCTTGTGATAACTAAGGTAACTGATCGCTACCTTTCTCTCAAATTTGATATAAGTAGTACAATGGTATTATAATGGAACACATTCCCATTCCCTCACTTCACCTCTATATTAGAGACTTAATCGAGACTATGAATTTGATAGCTTTTTGCTGTGATAGTTGTATTTAGGATTACTGCTCTAGTAACTGTAATTGAAATACAAAGATTTGCATTAAGTAAATTAGTACATAAAGATTATTTATGGAAGAAAAAAATCAGCTACTCTTACACTGTTTTGTTAATTACTAATTTATATTTAGTTCCCCAAGTTGGAAAATCATGTTTTGCTAAGAGAATTATACTTGGAAGACAATAACATATCCAGATTGGGAAAACTTACTGACTACTGGCTGCCTTTGCTACAGATACTTTTCATCTCACAAAACAGGTAAAATTAACACATTTTATTGGGAGAAAGGAGTTACAAAAAAGAGACTAGTACCCTACATTTTCCACTAACTGCCAGCATGGGAGTGTAAGTTATTGACATCTTAGCAGCCAGCTTTGAATGAAGTTACAAGCTTTCACTGGATTAATATATAAGGCATGAAAATATAACTTATTTTAGGCTGAAGGCCATGCTTAGCTTTGAATTATTTTCTGAGCTTCATGTACATGATACTCTGATACATCAAATTTTGATATAAACCAAAAGGATTGGCAGAATCCTCATAGTCTGTTTTTTCATTTGTATATAATTATTTTTTGCTAATTGCAACTGAATAAGTTACCGTAAGTGTAAGGCTGTTTAGCCAAGATGTTAAACTATCATAAAAGCTAATTGAATAGCAAGAAATGTAGTAAAGGGACATCAACCATAAAGCAATGTGGTATATCCATTACTAAGTTATTTCTGTTAATCCACATCTGAGCTGTCGCATTATAATTGCCTGTTATAAAATGAAATAAATTGCAAAAATGTATTTTTTATTAACTAGATATCTTTGATAAAATAGAAATATGAAGTAGGTCCTGGTTTCGTTGGAAATATAACTTAGCTATCTTTTTTAGCTAAAATAAAAAGGTAAAATAAAAATTCGACTCTGATTTGATTAAATAGGGAGTCCTATAGAAATTAAATCTATATTATGGTAAATAAATCATGGTTCATGTGACTTTTTCATTTATGTACTACTAACATTTTTACCCCAGTAACAGGTTTCCATAATTTAAATTAATAAATATGTCATAACCAAAATAGTATTGGATTATGGGTCCACCAAATCTTTTATTGTAGATTTAGAATCTTCAACACTGTAGTATTCAAAATATATATTGTCATGTACGGGGGTGGGATTCTACCAGTTTGGCCCGGTTCGGGAGAATCGGTAGCTCCAAAGAATCAGCTGTGAGCAAACCAGTTCACTCCGACAATCAGCTGTTGGGCCCGCCTGTCCCGGTTCTGGTCTGTGCTTTATTTCCAGGTTTTTCTAGCTCAGCTGATTCGCATGACACAGCAGATTGCTACACGTCAGCTGTTTTATACACAGGACTTGCAGCAGAAGGTGAATTGTAAACGCTACATGCACATGCTCACCAAACCGGTTGTTACACTGGTTGAATCCCACCCCTGGTCAGGAACTGCATTTTAAAACAAAATAATGACACTGTATCTACCCTACATTCAATTGTTTTTTGTAACTAAAAAACTATGAAGGATTGATGGAATACAACTTCTGTCATTCCGTGAAAATTTACAGCACAAATCTAAGATGTCTATTCAGAAAGAGGTCCAATTATGTGAAATGTAGCTTACTTTCAAATAAGTGTGCATAGGATTGAAGTAAATCAAACTGAATTCAAAAGGATTTACTCTCAAACAGACAGAATAGGATTGCGGTTTGAATCTCAAAAATCTTTGAAAAAAGTGGGTTCTTACATAGCGGTATTTTTTTTAATTTTTGCTTTTTGTATTAAACATTATTGAATGCCTTTCTTATTTGTTTTATTTTTTTATGATCTGAACAAAACATCCTTCAAAGAAAAAAAGCAGATCTGGGTACATTTTTTCTGACAGAGATATTTTCCAGATCTTCTTTTTCAGACTTTCTTTTAAAGCTGGAAATATAAAAGCTTGAGCCCAGGATCTTCTGAATATAAATTATATGCTGTACTACCAAGCTATAGGCTGTCTTATATATTTCAGTCCATGATACTCTCTCATACCCCGCTTTACCATTCTTTTTGATGCTCTATGTTACAGTTGACAGCTGGTGAAGTACTTCCTGTTGTGTGGAAGGAAGTACTTTGTCATAATCACTGAGCAGATATCTGGCTGACATTTCTAGTAGCAAAAACTTCCCATAAGTCTGCTCTATGCATCAACATCTTTAACATAAATCATTTAGGCTAAAGTGAGAATGAGGACAAAATGAATAGCCATGACTATAGATATAGCTAGAATGGATGACAGTATCAGTAAAATAGCAATATGCTGTTTAAATGCTGATTAAAGCAGTAAAAAAGTAATATCAGTAACTGATATTTGTCCTTTCTTTATCAATATGACTATGTTCTAAGCAGCTCCATATGCTTTTCTATAGCATAAGTGGTTGGATGTTCTATACAGAAAGGATTGAATGTAATTAAATAAGCTGTTGAAAGAAAAGCTGTTCCTTTGCTTTTATCCTACAGTTGTGGAGTTTTTGCTGAAGAGTGTGCATTGACTGTCTTTTCCTCTTTTGTTGATTGCAGGAAATCCTTATTAATGTTAGGATTGTGACTCCATATATTTCTTAAGACTAAAGATCCAAATAGGAAAATCAAATTTGAAAGTGATAAATAAAAACAAGTTTTCATCTTTAGTTTAGGAAAAATGATTTTAAATGTTAAAATGATGCCAAATATAGTTTAATTATCAGAATTCAACTGGTAATGCCTAAATATTTCTGGAAACATTGCTGACATTCCAAATATATTTTAAATGCAAACAATTGGACAATACACCCATTTGACTCAGTATCATTGTTAGAACATTGAGAACTCACTACAAGAGGTTTTTCTTTTTCAAATAGAAACAATTTCAAAAGTTTGTGGCTCTGTTTACATACTATATTAAAATATGATATATTTGTTTACCTGCTGTCCCCAAATACTGTACAAACCAGTATTTGGGGCCAGCAAGTCAATTACCTTTTTGAATGCTACAGGTGATTCCAATTTATTCTAAAATTGCAAGACTGAAATAACTAGGATTCTACTTAGATAATAGTATATCTTAACAATAATAAATAAAAAATGCATATATCATTTTTGTCAATAAAAACCAGAATCTTTTCATTGGAGTTTCTCAGTCATTGAGGATTGTCTGCGCAGATAATTAATTTAGGAACCTAATTCTTATCTTTCAGCATGCCATGTTTTTCAATTCTTTTGCACAATTGTGCTAAACAAGCTTAGAGCTAAGAAATCAATAACTTCTTAGAATTCTTATGAATAACATACTAGACTCGATTAATACATATTAAATAGATTTATGATTTTATATTGCTAACAATAGTGTCACACCATCTTAATGTAGGTTCCACCTCTTTTATATATGTAATATTTATAAATGTAAATAATGCTATTATAGATATATAAAGGAGGCATAGTTTGCATCACAATGGCACCACACTGCTCTCCTCCCTTGACTTTGCAGACACCTGGTCACTAGTTACCCATTTTTCAAAGTCCTTATATTTAATGATTTGCACTCATAGATTTTTTATTAGATTCTATTAAATTACTATTTCTTAGAGAAAGTAATATATAAACATATTAAATTAGCCTTGTTATCAGTTACTGAAACTGTGCAACTGCTGTTACCACTTGACTGAACCAGAATATCTCCTGATCATTAACAGCTTACCATATAGCTGGTGCTTTATGGCCTGCAGTTTTCAGAAGTTAGCATTTGTCAGACAAGAGTAAATCCACCAGACAGTGTATGCTTCTATTGAGAATTTGGCGAGCTATCCAATGACATCAGTAGATGGAAAAAATCTCGTTAAATATCTCGTCCTGAACCCTGCTAGTAGTAGTTTTATTCAGAAATTAAGAAATTAATTCCTATGAAGTAAAGTTGAAGGAATTCAGTAGAATCAATCAGATAAGACTGATGTGGAATATGATAGCATTCTTTAAATATTCTGAAATGTTGCAATACAGTAGGAGTGATTATATAAGAAAAATAGAATAGAAGCAAAACCATTTAGTAAAAAGTGCAGAGGACGAGGTTCAGGCTAGAATGTGAGAGGAAATTTCTGGCTGTTGGTCTGTAGAACATGCTGCTGCCTGAAGTTGGGAGTTCCCCTTAATTAGGTTTGCAAACACAAAGTGAATGGCCATTTATTAAAAATACTTTAGAATATCCTTTTTCATTGTCATTGGGGCAAAATACTTTTTGAACTTTAGGCACTGGACAATGTACTTACAATGGGGAGAATTTTTATACTCACAACTGAGCTACTATCCTAACGTGCACGCCCCTAACTACGTCTATTCCAACCACAACTGGCCTTAAATGCAAGCTACTCAATGCAAGAAGCCTTGTAAATAAAATACCTGAATTTCTCCTCTTACTAAATATGGCTAAATTCGACATTATATTTGTCTGTGAAACAGGGCTCAACGCATCTCTCCCTGACTCCATTACCACAGTAAGAGACTATCATGTTTACTGATCAGATCGTGAAATCAATAGAGGAGGTAGTGTTGCTATCTTCTATAAAAAGTCCCTACATCTAAAAAACATCCAAGTAACCCAGGAGCTTGCTATTCCTAAGACCTTCGTCTGTGAACTGTCCTTAAATATCACATTTCAGTTCTTACTATGTTACAGAGCCCCTGATTATGACATCGAACATGCAAACAAGCTAAATACACTACTAACATGGGCAGCATCCTGCCCACACACTTTTATCTTTCTTGCTGACTTCAATCTACCTCATATAAACTGGATCCTTAACAAATGTACAACTGAACCCACACATGCAACCTTCTACAATGCAGTAACAAATCTGGGACTTGAACAATGAGTAACCAACAACACTAGACTTAACAATTGCCTCGATCTCATCTTCTGCAATAATTTGAATTCAATTTACAGAATACAAATTAAAGAACTCTTTTCCAACAGTGACCACAACCTGATTGACTTTTGTTTCAACATACGTCCACACAAAAATCATCACAATGACGGAATCCCCAATTATAACTTCAAAAAAGGCAACTATGATCTTATAAACAACGATCTCTCATCCTTTGATTGGAAATTTCTATTCTCTGGATGCAATACTGTAGAAGACCATTACAACATATTTTTACTTGAAGTCAAAAGAGTCATCAAACTATATGTACCATTAACAACTCCCAAAAGCAGAAAAAACAGATTACCCAAAACAATAA